GCAACCGCGGGTAAATCAACTCCATAGGCTGTTTGCCTAGATATCGAGTCGTGTAATTTTGTAGCACATCACACTAAAGAGGCACCCTCACTGCAAAGTGATTACTTTTCATAGAGGGGCAGGTGTTCAAGAAGCCTAGTTATGATTCTTTTTCTTCAACAACACAGAGGGCCCCCCTCTATAATCAAGGATGAACAGAATCCAGCATGTTTTAGAAATTTCGTGTGAACCTCCTGATCCATCGTGGCCAAGGAGAACGCTGTCAGGGAGGACGAGTGGCGGATGCAACTGAGTAGTCGGGTGGGAGGAGGAGGAGGAGGAGGAGGAGGAGGAGGAGGGGGAGGAGGGGGAGGAGGAGAGTGTTGGACTGAGACGACATGAATCTATGAATCTATGAATGAATGAATGAATGGGCCAGGAGTTTGGGAAACTAGCTGCCTATGTCATTCCCATTGCCATGCCAGCTGCAATCATGAATCTCCACCACCACCACCACCACCACCATCAACAAATTACTAACAACCCAACCGCTAATACCACCCAACCGAACGCGACCAACGGCCAGGGTCACCGCCGCGTGAGACGGAGCCGCGTCCGCACCCGCAGCCGCCGCAGCGCCACGACTCGCGCCTGGAGGCCGCCATCAAGAACATCTCCATGGACCTGGAGGGGCTGCAGGTACAGCCTCAAATGATGATGATGGTGGTGGTGGTGGTGGTGGTGGTGGTGGTGGCTGTGGTGACTGTGGTGGTGATTTGGCCGCTTGTAAACATCGTATCATGTGTTTGTGCCTTCTCACTCTCATGTGATGTGCTGATGCTTTGTTGCTTTGTTGCTTTGTTACTTCATTCTCCAAATGGGTTGCGCTGTTCAATTCACCCCCCCCCCCTTCTCTCTCTCTCTCTGTGGTCCCCAGATTGCGGATCGCAAGACCACGGAGGACCAAATTCACGAGCAGAATGCGGCAACGGGCGAAACAAAATACGACACCCTCTCACGCGTACGGTCCACATGTGCACATGTTCCTTTTGTACAGCCGATGTTTTGGCACGGCGTTGACGTGCTTCTGTGCTGGTGTGCTACTGTGCTGGTCCGTTGATTGTTGCCATCTGCGTGCAATGTTTGGGCAAGTATGTGTGTGTGTGTGTGTTGTTTTGGCGACGTCGTTGTTGTCTGAGCTTTGAATCGTATTTCCGCGTGCGCATTTGTCTTCGCTCTCGTCGCACGTCAACCGCCTTGCCCTTGATTCACTGCCATCTGTAGTGATTCGTTAAATCCCTCCATCGTCATGTCACACCACATCCACCACGTTGCAGATTACGCGTGGGTCCGCCAAGTCCCGCATCACATTCTTCGAGGAGCTGTAGCCGCTCCCGAAAGAGAAGGATGAGAGATGGAGGATGCAAGCAAGAAGAAGAAAGGCAGGGCGAGAAGGGGACGCGTGACTCCTGGTTTGTGTGTTGCTGTGTTCATGAACTTGCTCGCCTCACGTGTGAGTGAGTGAGTGTGTGTGTGATATCTCAAGTCAGACAAAGAGTGTTGTGCACTGTGCCCTTTATCCCCCTCTTTCACTCATCTTTGGCTGTTGTGCACGTGGCAGCACTCGCAAAAGCTCATAAAACGCGCGCCATGAACGTGCTGTCGAGATGTAATGCCGTGTAACAAAACGAGAGCACACGCCTCGAACCAGCAAGTGTCTATGTCCACATCCACACATCCACCATGTGTACAAGGTGCCGTCAACGTAGCATCAAACAAGCGTTGTGGCGCACTGTTGTTTCCTTCCACACACATTGCTCCGTGGTAGCTGTCGCACAGCAGCCATCAGTCAAACTCCCGAAACGCTCTCCGCAAATGCCACCTGTTCCGGGCGGGCGACATTGGACAAGTGGAGTTGGTCAAAGGTGAGAGGTGGTGGAGACAAGCACATGTAAGAAAATGTACAAAGACGTGGAGGAGCGACTCTCTCAACACACACACACACACACACACACACACACACACACACACACACACACACACACACACACACATTGACGTACTTGTTTCTGTGTTCGCCACTCTGTTCTCTGACAGCGACAGTCCGCAGAATGCTCGCCAGGTATTGCTGTAGTGGTGCGAGTCATGATGAAAGCATTGCCGCGTGAGCGTCGAATGGGAGGGGCACACCGATTCCTTCACAAAGACGCAAACACACACGGACACAGACATACAGAGAGACAGACAGACAGACAAGCACACACACACACACACACGCACACACATGAGATACATACCGCTGGCTGTTGTGTGAGCTGTGAGAGCTGATCCAGTGTGTAGTACTCGTGCTTCCTGAACAAACCAAACAACAGTTCCTGCCAAAACAACGCGAGCCACATGCACACACGTGCCACGCGTGATGTGAGCAAGCACTTTCGCACAAACGCAGGCACAAAGCAACGACAGGCGAGTCAGACGCATGCGCACAACACATATGCACACGCATGCACAAGACACACACACAAGACACACATACACACACAAGACACACAAATACACGCACACACAAGACACACACACACACACACACACACACACACAAAAGACACGCACGCAACCATGAGCTTCACACTGACCTTGACTTCCTTCTCCGGTTTCCTGGTCTTTGTGCGCTCGCGCTTCTGTGTCTTGATGAGTGACTGCGTCATAAGCAAGCCGTCTTGTGTCCTGACAGCAGCAGCACAGCGAAGATGGCAACGTGAGGTCGGAGGGGGAGCGAGAGGGGTGAAGGTGTCATCAATTAATCCCGACCGGCACATGATCAAACAACTTGAGACAGACACACAAGCAGTCAAACAGAGACAGGCACAAAAGCACACACACACTCTCACTCACTCACGCACACTCACGCACACACCCACACACACTCACGCACACACACGATCTCTCTCACACTCACACACAGAGCAAACCATGTACAAGTCACGCATGCGTACACGTACATGCCCTTGCTGGCCTCCTTTGTCATCTTGTCCTCGCTGAGCTCTGTCGGGCGCGTCTTGATGAAGAGATCAAGCTCCTCCCCATGCATGATGACGCAGTCTGCTCGCGTGGTCACCTGCCCGAGCGCCTGCGCCGTGAGGATACTGCCGGCGTCGTCGGCAATCGTCCCGTCCTCGTTCTTCAGCGCAGCCTGCTCCTCGGCGAAGATGGCCAGGTTCTCGGTCGGCACCTGTCGCACCGCATATCGGGAAGGGATGAACCGCTTCTCCCGTTTCTGATCCTCCTCCAGCAGTGGCACGTCTGCGCGCAGCTCCATCTGTGTGGAGGAGTGTGTGTGTGTGTGTGTGTGTGTGTGTGTGTGTGTGTGTGTGTGTGTGTGTGTGTGTGTGTGTGTGTGTGTGTGTGTGTGTGTGTAAGCACAACGCGGGTGTGTGTTTGTGTGTGTGTGTGTGTGTGTGTGTGTGTGTGTGTGTGTGTGTGTGTGTGTGTGTGTGTGTGTGTGTCCAACTGACCTTGGGTCGCTTCTCAGGATGCTCCTTTTGGTCGCACAGTGATGTTCGAGCGTGGAGAGCGGCAGATGCAATCAGTGATGGATCGTGACATGAATCGAAGTGGCAGTGGCAGTGGCAGTGGCAGTGGCAATAATAACAGCACACACAAACACACACACACACACACACACACACACACACACACACACACACACACACACACACACACACACACACACACACACACACAAACACACACACACACACAAACACACACACACACACACACACACACACACACACACACACACACACACACACACACACACACACACACACACACACACACACACACACACACACACACACACACACACACACACACACAAGCACTCACTTCGGCGTCGTCTGTGGGCACCCTGATCTCGCCAAGGCGCGTGCCGTCCTGTGCAGCTGCCCATGCAGAGGCGAGTGGCTCTGGTATCCTCAGCAGCCACACCTCTTGCTCCGCCTTCTCCATGCCAACCTCTGCCCGCTCCATCCTTGCCGGTTGGTTGTGCCTCTGCGTGCCTGATGCTGCTGTCTGTGTTCCGTTGTCTCACTTGACCTCGCTTGCCTCGTCGGTCCGTCGTCTGTCTGCGCTGTCGTATGCGAATGATTTTCCGCACAACGACGACGACAAACAGCAAGCCGCCACGCACTGCTGCACTGATACACACTCCACACAGAACACAGACACAAACACACCCTTGTTCTCCCCCTCCTGAGCACGATCCCCTCACACACACATACATACATACATACATACACACATACATACATACACACATCCACACACCTGAACGCCCAAAGACGTGAGAGCGGCGCGATGGCCGACGACGAGTCCACGGAAGAGAAAACAACCACAGCACCCGCAGCACCTCCAGCTGCTGTAGTGCAAGGTGGTGGTGGTGACGATGGCCAGCTGGTGGCGGAGGAGGATGTGATGGATCAGGAGATGCAGCAGATCATGAGGGGAATGAGCCACATGCGCTCCTGCGACAGTGAGGAGGCCGGTGAGTCCGATCGACCAAACCCCTTCGTGTCCGTGGCAAAGCGCGTGCCAGAGACAGACTCCACCGTCTACACGCTGCTGCGGTTCAACATGGGCTTCCACTTGCCCAACAAGTACGCGCCACCAAACGGCAACGTTGCGCTGGGCGCGTTTGCCAAGGTGGTGTTCTCGCGCGACCTCACACGGCCGCCAACGCCTGTTGATGATTACCAGTTTGAGGGCCACTCCCAGCAGGTGGCCATCAAGAAGCTGCGACGCTTCCATGACGCTGACGAGGCGCTGCGCGCGTACCGCGAGCTGCTCATCCTGCGGCATCTTCGGGAGCACGACAACATCGTTGCCCTGCGCGACTTCTTCCTGCTACCTGGGGATGACAGCCTCTTGGACTACTACATCGTCACTGAGTACTGCGGCAACACGCTCGACCAGGTCATGCTCGGCGACCTGGACCCGATGGACGTCCAGATGATTGCGTACAGCATTCTTCGCGGAGTCAAGTACATCCACAGCGCAGGTGTGTGCGTGTGTGCGTGCGTGAGTGAGTGCATGTGTGTGTGTGTGTGTGTGTGCATGTGTGTGTGTGCGTGTGTGTGTGCGTGTGTGTGCATCTGAATCACTGTGCTTGTGTGGGTGGAGCTCACGGTTGTGCATATGCTCTTGCCAGGCCTGACGCATCGAGACCTCAAGCCCAATAACGTCCTCATCGACGTCGATGTGCGTCACATCATGTCACGTTGCTCCCTGTCTCGTGCATGCCTTGGCTTGCCATCCATGTTGTCGCTGACACACACACACACACACACACACACACACACACACACACACACACATCACTGTGTGCAGACGGTGAAGATCATTGACTTTGGCTACGCCAAGCGGGACCGAGGCCGCTTCCCGTACATGCAGGCCTACATGCAGTGCCGCGACTACAGGGCGCCCGAGCTCTTTCTCTGGCTCCAGGTGCGCACATTTGTGTGTGTGTGTGTGTGTGTGTGTGTGTGTGTGTGTGTGTGTGTGTGTGTGTGTGTGTGTGTGTGTGTGTGACTGTCTGTCTGTCTGTCTGTCTGTCTGTCTGTCTGTCTGTCTGTCTGTCTTGTCTGTCTGTCTGGTCTGTCTGTCTGTCTTGTCTGCCTGTTCACGTGGGTGCATGCACGTTGCATTCTCGAGTTGGACTTTGCTCACTCAGATCCGCTTGTGTGTGATCACGTGTGCGTGTCGTGTCTGCTGTCGACAAACGGGGACGTGTCCACGAGCTCTTCAAAGTCCATTCCAAACCGCGCAGCCTTCAGCAGGTACCTGCACACACGCGTGCAAATGGAGTGGAAGAAGTGAGCCGGAAGCACATAGAGAACGTGTGCGTATGTGTGTGCATGTGTGTACGTATAGGTGGGCGAGACAAGGAGACAGACAGAAAGAGAGAGACAGGGAGAGCCATAGAGAGAGCCAGGGAGAGAAAGAGAGAGGCAGACACACATACGCACACACACACACACAGACGCATTAAGAAGTGCCCAAAATGAATATTTCAGCCCTCATGAGCACACACGCCACCGCCACCGCCACGCTCTGCCTCTTCACCACCACAAAGTGTCTCCATTCACCTCGCGCCCCTCCCCGCGTCCACACACAGGCTGCGTCACCTGATGAGCCTGGGGTCCCACTCGTGCTCGGCCGCGACCATCAGGCTCTGCACCGCCTGCACCATCGCATCGGGGCCCGCATCCTGTCCACGGCGATTGGGGTGGGTGGTGGTGAGTGGTGAGCAACGGCGCTGTGGGCACAGGTGGAATGTCAACGCGACACATGGCATTACGTCGTGTTGAACAGGAGTAGCGCGCTCGCTTGCGAATTGCCCTGCCTCAATGCCTCAAAAACCGGCCACACGTCTCACCTTGACGGATCGGAGGAGCTCGTCAGCTAGCGGGCTGCGGTCCTCGTAAAACTGCACAGTTGCAGTGTCGTGGTAGCAGGCAGTGCGGTGAGAGGGACGTGCAGGCACAGCCCAAGCGCAAGCACACGGTTCACGCACAACCCAGACGCCATACAAGGTGCAGCGGCAACAGCAGCAGAAGACACGGTTAAAATGCCACCAACACACATGCCACCAGGACACGGGCACACGACAGCAACCCCTCCCTGCGTGTCACGACAGCAACGCACCACGCGGGCCTGGTAGAGTTTGCTCTCGCCGGTGTCGCCAGCGAGGAAAGTGCTCCACATCTCGTCCGGGACCGGCTGCAGGAACTCGTGCTCCTCCTGCACACACGTTCAGGGGAGGGAGGTGGCGCGGTGGGTACGTGCGTATGTGTGTGCTGTGTGTTTGTGTTGTTTGTATGTGTATGTGTGTGTGTGCTGTGTGTGCTGTGTGTTTGTATTGTTTGTATGTGTATGTATGTGTGTGTTTGCATGTGTGTATGTGTGTGTTTGCATTTACGTGTGTGCATGTGTGTGTATGTGCTGAGGTGTAAATGCACGCGGATGACACAACATGCAACCAGCGCGGCCAGCAGCACCGCCGCCCTTCATCCGTCACCGCACGTCTGAGATGACGCGGAGGCCGTCCATCTCCGGGCAGAGGATGACGCGATTGACGTAGCTGAACGTTGTCTGGTGCCGCGAGCCGGGCACAACCAGCAGCATCCCGGACGGCATCTGACAACAGCCCGTGATGGAGGTGGTGTGAGACGTTCAGTAAGAGACATTCAGTGTTGTTGTGGGGCGTGAGCACGAAAGGGATACTGCCAGAGCACTGTTGAAACCCATTTCTTGTCAATTTCAAGCAACAACAGCAACAGCAGCAGCAGCAGCAATGGTAGCAGCGACGCAGCGAGTGCTGAGCAGCAGTGTCCTGCTTTCACCTCCACGCCCCCTCCCTTTTCAAATCATGTGCTCACCTTCTCCTCGTCCCAATAGGCGACGACGGAGTGTGAGCCGCACCACACAATGGACGTGGGCTCGACGTTGGTGTCCGTGTCCAGCTCGTACTTGAGGTCGGTGAAGTTCTTTGCATACACGCGAATCATGCCCTCGTGGAACACGGCAACCTTCTCCTCGTCCCACGACACCGCCATGTGCGTTGCCTTCACCGCTGTGCCAATCGGCAGTTTCTGATCGTAGTGATCATGGTGGTGGTGATGGTGAGAATGGGTGGTTGGGTTGCGTTGCACGAACGAGATGTCGTTCAGGAGCGACGATACAGAACAACGCACCACAGCACAATTAACGCTCGGACGACAACTCCTTCAATCACGCATCCCCACCACCGCCATGATGTGTGTGTGTGTGTGTGTGTGTGTGTGTGTGTGTGTGTGTGTGTGTGTGTGTGTGTGTGTGTGTGTGTGTGTGTGTGTGTGTGTGTGTGGCCAGACATAACGATGGCAGCAGCGACGACAAGAACCCCAATTGGTGTGCGGACCGTGAGTCGCGGGTCATGAGGACAATGTAGCGCCCGTCCTGGCTACCAATCACCTTCGTCACACCGATACGGAGCTCCTGTGAAAAGAAGAGCGAGCAAGCATGAGAGAGAGAGAGTGTGTGTATGTGTGTGTGTGTGTGTATGCGCGCGCGCGGTGTGGGGGCGTGTGGGCGTGGGTGTGTGTGTGTATGTGTGCGGTGTGTGGGCGTGGTGTGAGAGCGAGCACTTGTGGCACACGTGTGGGACGCTAGCAGCACACAAGGTGTTCGTGGTCGGCACCAACACCATCCACTGGTGCACACGTTCGAATACACGTACGGCTCGCGGCGGAATGGCGTGCAAGAACCCGCCGGTGACGTTGTGGACCTGGCGCGAGTAAGGTTGGTGGTGCAGTGGGAGGGGGGATGATGTGAACATGTGGCTCAAAATGAAGAAACAAGACCCAAGAGTCTTGTGGCGCGAGCGTATCTGCACACACACACACATACACGCACACACACACATACACGCACACACACGCACACACCTGGCAAGCGCCGTCCTCTTGCACGATGATGAGGTGTTCGGCAGAGGCCCAGACAAGTCCCACAATGTTCCGGTCACCCGTCCACTGCGAGGAGAAAAGAATGCGCGTGTACGTATACGTGCACAATGTGTTGTGAGCGCTGGTGATTGCGGACGGTTGTCCCGGTGCGGGATGAGTCTAATTGTCACACCTGAACCGGGCTCCGGTTCTGTGAGCACCTGCACTGACCTTGATGGTGCCCATTCGATAGCCAGCAGGGGAGAAGATCTTGACGTTGGTGACTTCGTGCATGCCGTGCACCTCCGTCACCTTGGTTCTGTCCAGCGTTAGCGCTATTGGGAGGGCGTGATAGCGATAGCAACGCGGGGCACATGAGCGCGGGATGCATGTGTGTGTGTGTGTGTATTGATGAGATTTCTTGGCATACAACCAAGTATGCAGGAAGGAAAAAGAAAGGCAAACACCAGCGCTCACAAGTACACGCACGCACAAACACACACACACACACACACACGCATACACATACACACATATGCACACACGTTTACACGCACACATGCACACGCACCGACAGGACCGCCGTATGGAGCCACTGCGTGAATGTAATCGCCCAAGCTGATGCTTTTCATGACATCGTCCGGGTTGTACCAGCCCATGTTCATGTACACCTTGTGCATCCTATCAAGAACGAAACACACACACACATGATTGCGTGAGACACAGCCATAGCACACGAGTTCAACAAGCGCACATACGCATAGGACTCACGAGCGCCCCACAAACACAGCATACACAGCACACACACAACACACACGACAAACACACACACGACAAACACACACAAACGCAACACAACACAACACACACACATACACACCCAACACACATCTCTGCATCTCTCTCTTCCTATTACACCTGTAGAAGCTGTCACCGCATGGCTGCCAGCCTTCGCCAGTGGTGTGCGGTCGCAACACCTCATTCCACCGCTCCTCGTCCATCTTGTCTTGTGTGTGTGCTCCGAAACAAACCACCCATTCAGCAGCAGCGCAGCCCGATATGGGATCTTTGATGCGACAGCAAAAATTGTAGTGACAGGACTCCAGCCAGCTGTGACGATGCTCCTCCTGCTGCTCCTTCTGCTGCTGCTGTTGGGTCCTCACCGCAGCACCTGCACCGTCGCCAACCGTGTTCGTCGTGGAGATGTACGTTTAGGCAAGGGAGAGAGAGAGAGAGAGAGAGAGAGAGAGAGAGAGAGAGAGAGAGAGAGAGAGAGAGAGAGAGAGAGAGAGAGAGAGAGAGAGAGAGAGAGAGGGGGGGGGGTTGTAGGAGGAGGTAGTACCATGTGATTTTAGAACGTCACTCTGTGTGTCTCGCATTCGCCACAGGCTTTCATGGTGTGTGACATGTGTGAACATGATTGATTGATTGTCACAACGTGAAATCAACACACACACACACACACACACACACACACACACACACACACACACACACACACACACACACCACAACAACAACAACAAATACAAACACACACACACACACACACACACACACACACACACAATCTCCCTCCCTTCATCTCACGCACAAACACACACGTGCACGCACGCAGGTACCAAGTGCACCGCCACAGAATGTGAGCGTCAACTTTCACAGCGCTGGATCTGAGACGGCATTCACCCTGACGTGGGATCCCCCAAGTGCAGATACAACCAACGGGGACATCACCGGGTACTCGCTGCGCATTCAGCCCGCTGGTCCAAGCCCACCGTCCTGGCTGTACGGCTCATCTGCCAGCGACTCGTTCCTCGGCGTCGAAGAGGTTGTTGCCGCCAACCCCACCTCGTATTCCCTATCGGCAAGCGATGCGTACCCATTTGCCCAGTACCAAATCGTGCTCGCAGCAATCAACAGCGCTGGCATGGGCCCGGTGAGCCTCAGCACGTTTTCACGGCCCTCGGGGCCGCCGTCCGGACAGCCGCGGTCGGCTTCGGCTTTGCTTGTCAACTCGGACCAGCGGATCGAGTTTCCGCCCATCGCCGACCAGGTCACTGTGCAGTGGACGGCACCGGCGGGCCTGTGGGTGGCCAACACGCCGCTGCAGGCCTTTGACATTGACGCCATTCCAAACCCAGAGAGCACTACAACGAGCGACATCATTTCCACGCGCGTGCAGGTCACGTGGGACAGTTCGCAGCCCACGGACCAGCGGTTTGAGGCGACCATCACCGGCCTCACCCCCGCCACGCAGTACCTCGTCCGCGTGTACTCTATCGGGCGTGGCGGCGACCGCAACGACGATTCCGGGCTCGCTGTCATCACCACGCGCGCAAGCGTACCCTCCATTGCGCCCACTGGGCTTCGCCTGGATAACCGGTCGGCAACAACGCTGGCAGTCTCGTGGGATGCGCTGGATACAGCCACCCCTGGCACCAACGGCGACATTGTCGGCTATGGTGTGCAGGCGGTGCCCAGCGCGGGTCAGGACGCTTCGTGCATCGCAGTCGCCTGCGCGCCGCCCGCACAGTGCCAGGGCGAGACGTGGTGCGCCTTTGGGGCGTGCATGTACACGGCGCTGCCAGACACCACGCTGTGCGATGACGGCAGAGCAGACACGATTGGCGACAGGTGCGTCGATGGCCATTGTGTCGGAGAAGTGTACGGTGCGCACGCAACAGTCGTCCCCGTCCCGCGCCACCTGAGCCACGACCAGCAGAGCTACGGCGCAGGGTACATGCCGCGGCTTGGGGAGTGGTGGTACCCGTATTGGGCAGTGGCCAGGATCGACCGCCTGACCGGTGACGGGCGCTTCTTAGGGTCGTTTGACACGCCAGACAACACGCGGGAAATGAAGCAGGTGTGGGGCGAGCCAGACTCGCTGTACTACTACACGGCAAGCTTCTCCAACCACTGCCGCAAGCTTGGCCCGTTCCCGACCAGCGCCGTTGTGTGGACATACACGCCGCAGCCCTCGCGCCCCGTTGGCGGTGTGGCCACAGACGCCGCGTTTGCGTACTGCATCCAGACATCGCGAGCAACGGTGCACGTGGTCAACAAGGACACTGGCACGCGCAACCACACGTTTGACCTGACGGGCGGGGAGATTGGTGATCTACACGGGGTGTTTGCCGTGGTGAAGGACAAGCTGTACTACGGCACAGGCAACCGCATCTACCGCCACAACCTCAGCAACGGCGCCTTTGACGGGTTTAGGATTGACGTGCCCATTGAGCGCATGTACTCGTCCGCGTTCACGGGGCGCGACCTCTGCCTCAGCGACAACAACAACAACATCTACTGCTACCAGGTAATGTGTGTGTGGGTGGGGGGGGGGGGCGGCAATTGAGGGGGAGGGGAGTGGTGATTGTGGGTGGCTCCATTGGAGGGTGTGGGTATTGGACTCTTTTTTTTCCCCATGTCAGTTGTTGCCGGCTTGTCTGATATGCACCTGCTCTTGCGATAGAATCCTTCAACACTGCGATGATAATCACGCTGTCCTTTTCTCTGTTGCTTGCACATGACATTCATCCATGATCACCTTATTGTGCATATGTGTCCCACTGCCAGGTTGTCACGCACACCATCTGGCCAGAGGCCTCTGCGCCGCAGCTGCTCAAGGACACCGCCCAATCGTATTCTCTCATTGTCACCGACACCGGCAATGCCGCTGCAGGCTTCCTTCCCTGGCTCAACCAGTACTGGTGTGTTTGTTTTGTTGTTGGTGGGGAAGGGGGCTTATGTGTGTATGTGTATGTGTATCTGCGCTTGTTTGTTTGTTTGTTTGTTTGTTTGTGTGTCTGTGTGTCTGTGTTTGTTTGTTTGTGTGTGTGTGTGTGTTTGTTTGTTTGTTTGTTTGTTTGTTTGTGTGTGTGTGTGTGTTTGTTTGTTTGTTTGTTTGTGTGTGTGTGTGTGTTTGTTTGTTTGTTTGTTTGTTTGTTTGTTTGCTTTGTGTGTGTGTGTGTGTGTTTCCGCTTCGGAGCGTGTATATTGAGAAATGTCAACAAGTCATTGTCGTAATTATTTTCGAAGCGGGGCAACGGCTTCCCTCACACGCCATCTCACGACCCCGATACCCCACTGTTTCGTGTCCGCTGCAGGTTTGTGCCATTCGCGTCAACATCCGTGCTGCGCTACAGCGCGGATGGCAGTGCCATCGACTCAGCCCACTCCGTGCCCGTCACCAACGTCCGCCAGTTGTGGGCCGACGCACACAGCGAGCACATCTACCTCGTCAATGAGACCAGCGTGCTGAAGTATCATGAGCCAACGGGTGCCATGGCATGGCAAGCCGCAGTCGGAGACGGGGATCTCGCTGGCGTGACGCAGCACGACGGCCTCGTGTACGCAGCGACGGAGCTTGGAGACACGCTCTTCGTCCTGAGTGCGATTGATGGATCGTCAATGTCTTCGCTGACCCTCGTGGACTCGGCCTCCAACACCTTGTCGCTGTCGTGCAAAGGCCTCGCTGCCACCCACGGCATCATCTTCCGCATCTCCGCGGCCACGGTCATCAGGTCAGTGTGCGTGTGTATGTATTGTGTGCATGTCCATGTGTGTGTGTGTGTGTGTGCATGTGTGCATGTGTGCGTGTGCATGTATCGTGTGCATCTCCATGTGTGTGTGGGTGTGTGTGTGTTTGGGAATGGCAGAACGCCTGGGTGGTTTGGCTTCTGTTTTTTGACAGATGTCACATCACATCGCGGTGCTCCAGCTGCGTGCCGGCTCGGTATTGTCCGTTCAATTTCCATTTCAAACAACATCCCACACACACAATCCACTCACCTACGGACCCTGCACATTCTCCATCACCACTCTCACCACCTCTGGCATCACCATCATCATCACCACCACCACCACCACCGACATGCCCGCCTCTTTTCTCTCCTCTGTTCAACTGCAGCTTTGACGTGGTGACGGGTGAGCGTGCCGCCATCGCCTTCAACATTGGCTTCGTGCCCTTCAACACCGTGTTTAATGGCCGCGACCTCTGCTTCAGCGCAGAGTCTGTGCCTCTCCGCTGCTTCCCCCTTCTGTCCGGAAACGTGTACACGCCCGCCGCCGACGGCAATCCACCTCTGCTGTCGGGCTCATCGGTGCTCACGCAAAGCGAGAACGAGCAGCTCTCGCTGCTGCTGCCAGGCCGTGTGTTCACGCGCTGCTATTCTGCTTCTGCGACAGAAGGGTTTGCTGTGTCCTTCCTCAGCACGTGCGCCAACACAGGTCCGGCTGTTGTTGTGGTGCGGGCAACAAGCGGGCGTGTGTTTGGCGGCTTTGCGAACACCGTGTGGCCGCAGACGTACGGCTGTCATCGCGACACGCGTGCGTTTCTCTTCACCATCCACAACGGGCGCGTGTACAGAACGGATGAGGACGTGACTGCCCCTTCCTGCGCTGTCACCTTGCGCGACTTTCCCTGCCCCTCTTTCGGTTCGAGCACATGCCGCTGTATGTATGTATGTATGTATGTATGTATGTATGTATGTATGTATGTATGTATGTATGTATGTATGTATGTATGTATGTATGTATGTATGTATGTATGTGTGTATGTATGTATGTATGTATGTATGTATGTATGTATGTATGTATGTATGTATGTATGTATGTATGTATGTATGTATGTATGTATGTATGTATGTGTGTATGCATGTGTGTATGTGTGTATGCATGTGTGTATGTATGTATGTATGTATGTATGTATGTATGTATGTATGTATGTATGTATGTATGTATGTATGTATGTATGTATGTATGTATCCGTCTATCTATGTAATCTGCGAGTGTACGTGAGTGCTGCTTGTGCGCATTTGCTTTTTTCAACTTGCAATGCGAGCGCGTGTCTCACATTTGCTTCTGCGCTTCCACACTTCCACGCTTCCACCTCCGCCTCCAGGTGACGGCCCTGATTTGGCGTTTGGGCCCGGGTGCATGAACGGCACAGCAACGGCGTCTGCGTTCCACATCGCCCACAACGTTGGGGCTGGGGAGTACACGGACACGTGGCTTGCCGGGTCGTCGTCGTTTGACGTGGATGCGCTCGAGGTGTTTGCCATGACGGAGGAGGTGGCTGACCCCTGCGCAGATGTGCAGTGCCCACAGTCGCCGTGTCTGCTCTCCAGCTACTGTTCCCACGGTGCGTGTGTGTCCACGCCCGTTGCAGACGGCCTGCCCTGTGACGACGATGATGCAAGCACCGGCGGCGACGTGTGCCGTGGTGGCGTCTGCACGGGCACGCCCCACTTTGCCACCACCACTGCGCTGACAATCGACGGCCTGCACCCTTCGCGAGCGTACGATGTGCGGGTGCGGGCATACACGAGTGTTGGCAGCGGGCCGTGGAGTGCTGCGCTTCAGGGGATGACGCGCGTGGGACCGCCGAGCCAGGACGCAACCGAGGTTGTTGTGGACGATGTCACAAACACGACCATCACCCTGTCCTGGCATGAACCGCCGCCTTCAACTGTCAACGGCGAACTCACAGGATACAAGGTTGGTCTCCGCGCTGATGCGCTGGCTGAAAGCGAGGCACCCTTTCACCTGCGCCCATGGACAATTGCGCGTGCGCCCACACTTTAACACACACACACACACACACACACACACACACACACACACACACACACACACACACACACACACACACACACACAGAGCACAACATTCCAGAATGCACGTGCCATACACAACAACAAATGCCGATTCACAAATGAACAACACTGCTCGTCTGTCCACACATGGCCCCTGCCCCCTCTCTCTGCCTCTCCCCCTTGCTGGCCTCTGTTGCAAGGTTGTGTATGTTGCAGCCGATGGTTTGAGCGACGCTGTTGCCACAGATATAGACACGCGCACGGTGACGTTGCGGCGGCTGCGGCCGTTCACCACGTACACCATCTACGTCCGAGCCGTCAACCAGGCGGGTGCATCGGCGGATATGCGCAACACGACGGTGAAGACCGCGGAGGCCATCCCCGGTCCACCGTCCAATGTGCAACTGGTGCGGGAGAGCAGCCAGGAGCAGGTGGGTGGTGTTCGTGTGCATTGGCAGCCACCCGAAGACCCCAATGGCGTCGTCCTCCGCTATGTCATCTACTACGCAGAGTACGTGTTCTTGCAGTTTGTGATGGCTGCAATACACACACACACACAACGAGTCACTCAGGGTGTGTTTTGGTTTAGTTTTTGTGTTGTTTTATTCATGGCACTCCACTCCACTCCACTCCACTCCACTCCACTCCACTCCACTCCACTCACACATACACACACACTCACTCCCACACTCACACATACACACACTCACTCCCACACTCACCCACTCACCCACTCACTCACTCACACACCCACCCACCCACACCCACACACACACACACACACTCACTCACTCGCACACACACACTCACTCGCACACACACACACATGCGCGCACACACAATTCAGGTTGGGTGGTGTGTGGCTGTGGGCGGAGACACCCTCTGGGGAGGACCGATCTCACCTGCTGACCAATGTCCTCACGCCGCTCGTCCTCGTCTCAGCCGCGACCTCCGTTGGGGAGGGCCCGCGTGCAACCGCTGCTGTCCCGCTCCTGCCAGTGCTCGATGCCATCCCCGACGGCGGTGGCGTCGCTGAAGGCACCGGGTGCTCGCCCCTCACGTCACCCCCGCCGGCATCAGGTGGGAATTCCCTTGCGTATGAAAGGGCGCGAGCAACGGCGCGGGCGCGCGTGGACCGGTTTGGCAACGTGCGGTTCTGCACTGGTGACGCCGAGGGCAATGCCGATGCCGATGCTGCTGCGGATGATGCTGCTGCAAGCCCGCGTGTGCTGCTGAACGGTGTGGACGTGGTTGGGGTGTCGGCATCGGTGCAAGAGGATGTGGTGCTGCGCTTGCGCGAGCAGGAGCTCATTACAGCTCACACAGACCTTGACTCGAAACTGAGCAACTTGCTGCAGGTTGCTGCAGGATTTGGCAGCAGGTGACACCAGCGATGGGGGTACCGCCCCCTGATGCCGGCGTACGTGTGTGTGTGTGTGTGTGTGTGTGTGTGTGTGTGTGTGTGTGTGTGTGTGTGTGTGTGTGTGTGTGTGTGTGTGTGTGTGTGTGTGTGTGGTGTGTGTGCGTGTGTGTGCGTGTGCCTTGCCAAAATAAATGAGAAGGAGAACTGCTGGAATGGGTGGTACCAAGTGGGGACATACCCATTGTTCCGATGTGGTGTGTGTGTGTGTGTGTGTGTGTGTGTGTGTGTGTGTGTGTGTGTGTGTGTGTGTGTGTGTGTGTGTGTGTGTGTGTGTGTGTGTGCGAAAGTCGTACCTTTTCACCCCTGGTATCTTAGGGTTACCCTTGAGAAGTTCTTGCGCCTGTGGCCTCCAAACTCATGGTCGTTGCGGAGGAAGTCGCCCATGCAAAGACGCCGCAGATGCGCAGGCATCGGCCAAGCCGATTCAAGCCTGTTTTGTGTATTGATGGCAGAAGACGAGCCCATCTGCTCCCAAGTAATAGTTGTGTGGTCTGTATCGCATGAATAGTCAACAGTTGGAGGGAAATGACGAGGACATTCCGGTACACGAGAGACGGGGCGTGTAAGCTCTTGGGTGGTGTCGGTGTACTGTGGTCGATGTAGTGGTCAAACAGTAAAACAAAAGAATGAACAAGATGAACGTGACACTCGCACAAAAAAGGCATGAGCGAGTGCACACAGAGAACTAGCAGGGAGAAACACGAGTACGAGAGCAAAAGCCGTAGGGGCTTTAGACAGAGGAAACCGAAAACAAAACAAAGGGGGTTGCTACGTAGCGTGACAACAAACAAGCCAAGAGCAAAGGATACTGCTAAGGGCAACGGAACACTGCGGAGCAAAGAAATTTGGGACAAGGTGGGAGAAGTGGTGAAAGACATGCGGCAAGGCTCGGTCACGAAAGACGCGTGAAAAGAGTAGTAAAGAAGTGGGACAGAAGAGCACTGTCGACAGAGTCGACAAGTGCTTACAGGGCGTGTACACAGATTGTGGTGCCGTGAAGAAGGAAGGTCAATGATAGGACATAGCGGATACGTCCTGTCGATCAACAGTGAAAGCAAAACAACTTACGATGAGAAGATGTCAACAAAGCGGAAGCAAAAAGACAACAATCGAGCTCGCTCCGCCATCCGTCAGTGTGACATCGCTGCCTGATGTGTCAATCTATCAAAAATAATGTCTTTCGTTCAAGTTGCGGGCGCAACAAGATTCTTCAGGATCGTTGAGCTGATTTAGACAGTCGAGCAACATCTGCTGTCACATATGATTGACCTCTCTTCTTCAGTCGCACTTCACGACACCACAGTTTGCATTCACGCCTCCCCCTCCCCCAAACATTTTGGACCTGCATGTTGTTGACAGGCAAGTCTTGTCTGCTGAGTCATCATTGACCTCCCTCCTTCACGACACCACAAATTTGCATTCACCTCTCTTGTGTTCTGGAATGTTCACGTGATTTCCCTCCAACCTGTTGCACGTGCAGTGTTTAGCTTGTGTGGTTGCTCGATGTTACATGCTCTTGCATAACACACCACATAACCACACAACTCTCAACAAACACCGCCACGTCACCACTTTGCGTTGTCGACAATTCTTGTCTTCTGCTCTGTTTCTGTGGAGAGACGAGTCCGTGTCATGTGCATGTGGATGTGTTTGCTTATGTCCGGAAAGCTGGAGACAGCATGAATAGTTCTGCGATCCAACCGGTTCTGCTGTGGTTGTGACACTTCCGTTTTCTTCGTTCAAGCTGTGTGTTGCTTCCACACAAAGTGCGGTATTGCATATGTTTGCGTGTTGTTCTTCGTCCAATCTCTTTGTTGTTTCTGCCACAATGCGGGAGTGCTTCACTTGTGTTCATTCATCCTTGTTCCCGTCTGTCTTCCACATCACACAGTAAACCCACACAAACACACGCACATTCCTCTGCTTGTCTTGCGTTCGACATGTCACAGATTATGAGACCCATGGACCTGTCCTGGGTTCCCCTTCCCCACTTCAACGGGAGTCC